GGAGTCGTGTTGGAAGGCCCACTTAACCTGGTGAGCCTGGCTTTCCTTGCCGCAACGGCGGCCTCCATAGTGGCAGTAGTGATCGACGGTGGATTGAACATTTCCTCAGACACAGAGATCTCGGGAGTAGGGTGATCAGACTCTTCTTTGGAGCCTTCCTCGGATTCTTCCTCTTCCGACGAAGAACGGTCTTTCCAAAGAGCAGGGTTGAATGGAGGGGGGATCTGAGAGAATCAACTATAAGTCGGCGTGTAGCCGAGTAGGGTGTGCGCCGCTTGCTCAACGGGGTCACAGGACCAGATTCTTAGAAGGTCGGCAAATCGGACTTGGGACCTCAAGGGTTAAGTAGTGTCCTGGCGATATCCTTCTGCAAAAACAGAGCCGAGGTCAATACTATTGATAGTAAAATCAGTACAAGGTCTAGGGGTGAAAACACACTTTTATCTCTCAGCACTTTGGGGCAGTACAATCTGACATACTCGGGCCCCTGTCCCTTCTCCCACCTACTGCCGAGCATGATCAGATCGTCTACATACCTCTTGTCTGAGTCGGACATATGGTTTACCAGATACATTGAAGTATCCCGAGCCTGGAGGTAATATCTTCCCCCAACAACTAGCCTCAGGTTATAGCAGAATAAAATTTCATCTACTCCTAGGTCGGTCCCCAGTCGAGCGTTTAAGGCGACTATGCCTGCACAAGCCTAAAGAAATTAACCCCACATTGAAAAGGAAAGAGCTTCAGTTGCATCAACATTTTGAGTAATAGGGGGTGGAGAGGGAAGGTTAACCCTTCTTCTATGATGGCCTTGGTCAAAAAAGGCATCATGTCTACACTTCTCATCTCCCTCCTATAGTAGGTGGGGATAAAAAGGAAGGCAAGTACAAGCTCATGGATGTGGTATCTAACTCTGAAGGCTTGAATGTTCTCGTCAATCACTTGGATTCTCCTCAACTTGGGGTTAGCCCTAGCCCTAACGGATGTCTCCCCCTGGTTCTACTGGTTCTGGCCATTGATGGGTTCTAAAAGGAAGAAATGTAGAAGAAATGAAGAAAAATGCTCGAGAGGAAGTACTTACATGAAGGTGGTCTTCGAAGAGGGAGCTCAGAGGACAAAGGAAACTCGGAGGAGAATAGAGAAGTGCTCGGGGTCTAATTGTTGAAGGGACGCTGAGGATGCAAAAGTTCTGAGAAGACATGAGCGCCTCCTATTTATACTATACAAGGGGCGGGAATCGAAAAGTTGAGCCATCATTAGGGGATTTGAAAATGGTGGCGCCAGCCGTGCAAGTAACTGTCGCTATTAATGAGGCATGATAACCGAGCCTCCAATATTTTTACGCTACTTGTCTCACGTTGCAAAAATAGTGGAGGCTGGGGGCAGTTGGTGGGACTCTAAGTGGCTTTATGGGCCCCAAATTGACACGTGGAATAATGAAGTCGTTGTGATGTCCAAAAGGCGCCTAGGGGGTGAACCAAAACATGTTGTATCGGAGGAGCCGAGCACTACAACTGACACCATATTTAATACGATGTGACCCCTCATTTATGACAGAATGAGTGATGGTAACAATGCTATTAAATGATGGCCTACGAGCACCTACACACTGAGAGTCTAGACCTACTGTCATGATAGCTAGATATTAATGGCTATCACGCCGAATAGGTCCAATCGGCTCATCCCGGGAAACTATTCCCCTGTGGGTGGCAGACGTCGAGCTGAGGAATTTGGATACTCGGGAAGGGCATAAATGCTCGGCATGGTGTCGAGCACTCTTCCCATCAACCTAGCATTGAGTAGGAGAAGGCGTGAGTGGAGAACATTCATTGCGCGAGGAGTGGCATGTTAGACATTAAATGTCTAAATGAGACTGGAGGTTTTTGACAATCATTGTTAATTCATGTATAAATACTCCTAATAAAAATGAACAAAGATACGCAAACTGGAACTAGAAAAATATTATTCATTGAGCTCGAACCTCAAATCTTGATACTGACTTAAGTTTCGAAAAGAAGAAATCGGATGTTCAACTGACTCTTTTTTCTGACCATGTTGTTCCAATCAAAAAATTGTATATGTATTACATTCTCATCAATGATATATAAAAAGAAGGTAAAATAATTTTTTTGACATTAAAGGTGGACCCAAAATCACATACACATCGCTGTCTATATAGTCTAGAACCCGAAGCAAGCTAGCAAGAGTAGTCTTAGTAGGAGTCTAGACCCCATCTCACCAATGAAAGTGGTCGGAATCACCTTGGAGTGGAGAGTCTTTTCATTAGATATCGATTCTGATTTTTTTCTGGCATGTGAAACACATCTAAACTTGACCCACCACTTGTTTTCTCTTTTTTTTTTTAATTTTTTTGTCTGGTTTAAGACCTTTCAACACAGACCAAACGAAATCTGACAATTGTCCTGTGGGTCCTATTGTTCAAAAAAAAAAAAACGAAAACAAAAACAAAAAAAGGCTCTGACTTAAAACTTAAAAGTGGGACAAAGTCTATTGTACCGAAAAAATCGCATGATTTAATTTTTTTATAGTAAAATTATATTTTTGAAAAAATAAGTTATAATTATTTAAAGAAAGAATATTATCGATCATAGACACGATCATAAATTTTTGATATCGATTCCAATTCTCTATGATGAAATATATTTTTTAAAAATTATAATTTATACTTCAAAAAAATTATAATTTAAGTTAAAAAATTATGAGTTTATTTGGTTTGCGTTTCAAAAAATAGTATCCGAAAACAGTTTTTGAGAAGAGTTTTAAAAAAACTAGTTTTGATATTTTTTGAAATAAAAAACTAATTGGATTAGATGATCTCAAAAACAATTTTACAATACAAAAAATAGTAAAACCTGTTTGGACAGCCTAAATAAATATTTAAACAATAATTCAAACATTAATAAAAAAATTATTTTTATATTGACAATTTTATAATATATATATATATTTGTTCTCTTTGTTTCCAAAATTTTCAAAAAAAATTCTGAAAATAAACTACGCTTGTTTTCTGTTTCTTTTATTCAAATCTAATTTTTTTTTTCTAGAATTTAGAAAATGATTTTTGATATTTTTAAAATTTTGAGAATAAAAAATTATTTTAAAGAAAGTAACCAAACACACCCTATAATTTTTGATACAGTAGAGAGGAGAACAACAGTTTTACGTACTAGGTTGGGAAAGCAATGATTCCTCGGACTGAAATATTGTTGTCATGGTAAAACATGGTGGTGATTCCATATTACATTTTTTAAGGTAAAGGTTACATATTTTACAGTAAAATTATAACTACATGAAGAAATTTATGAATGGATTAATTTTTTTCTAATTCACCAAAATTAATTTCTCCAAAATCGAAAAAAAAGTGGATGAAAAATTAATTATTTGTATTAGAATGTATCTTATTTTTCTATATATTATGTATATTTTAATTTCATATAAAAATACAGTGATAAAATATGTGTATATATATATTAAAAAAATTAAAATTAAAATTAAAATTAAAAATTTAAAAAAATATTTTTTTATCTTAATTATGGATGAAAATTTTTGACTCAATACGATGACACAACTCGAACTTGACACAAATTTTATGACACGAACTTAATTATAACTCGACACGAACTTGAAAATGACCTGACACGCCAACAAGAAATATAAAAAACTCATAACCACTAGGTCAAAATTGATTTGTATCACCCGGTTATTCTTAGATTTATCTAACAAGCGTAGATTTTAATCACTTGAAATGTAAGTTTTTAAATCATAAAGAGTTAATCGAGCCGTGTTATGTTATCACACATGTTAATTAAGTTGTGTTATGTCACGATCGTATTATTTTTAATTTTTTTTTTGACCAACAATCAATTTAAATTTATTTTCTTTAATTAATCATGTTAAATGTGTTGACATTAATACAACCTGTTTAGTAGTTATGTGAGCCACCTGCATAACTTGTAAATTAGAAATCTAGTATTTAGATCCCTTTCTTGCTCAGCAGAACCTACGATCAATTTGCCCATTAAAAATAAAAATTCACTAATCTTGACAATAGCATAATCAGATGGAAAATCATCTAATTCTACAAAAATTCATATAATTCTTAGTCAAAACATTAAAAAAAAAAACAACATTAAAAAACATACTTTTTTCGGACTATTTTGCTTATAATCCCAAAAATTAAAATTTACCCCAAAATGTGATGATAAATCAAAGTAAATAATCCCAAAAATTAATAAGTTTCACCCTAGAGATGGTATAAATAGGGAAAAAATAATAAGTCATGCAATATCGATATATTTTATTTTAGTTACCGTAATCAATGCGAGTAAGCAATTATTGTTCGACAAAACCTGACACTTTTATCTTTTGTGTTGACATAAAAGATAAAAGTGTTGACTACGGTACTGAATTTAGTATTTGTAGATGTTTTTATTATTGCTGTGGTATTTAAAAAAAATGATAAAAATAGTTAACACAAATGTGATAAAAACACCAAAAAATGTGATAAATTATCAATAAAAGTTATAATTTTTTTTATACCTAAAAAAAGTCGTAAACATAATTACCAAAATATTAATAAAAATACCCATAAAAATGATAAATTTTTTTTTATTATACAATAACCCACAAAAATTATAAAAATACTCATTAGAGTACTAAAAGTCGGAGAAATGGTACCGAAATTTTTTTTCCTATACTCAAGTCAAGTCCCATTAATCTATTAGGTTCACATTGAATTCGTATTACGTCCAAACAAAAAAATTCTCTATCTCGTTTTCCAGGGTTCCACTCTCCTGGAAGAAACGTGCAACCTTCAAAAACGTAACCCTTCAGTTTACCCCCGCATTGTCATGTGCTAGGGCAGCCCTTCAGTTCACCCCCACATTGACCCGTGTGGGCCTGAAGACTAATAATAAGCATATGCTAAAAAGACCATGACTTTTACCATTGATTGAATTGCTTCATGTTCTAATGTCTATATGTATCCTACAAACTAACTACTTCACCTCATCAAACCAGGAACCATGTACTTTCTTGCAGTTTTTTCAACTCACATCCTCTTCCTCCTCTTCCTTCTCTCTGTCTGTGTTCACTATATTTTAATTTCCAAGTTTAATTTTCAGTCTGTCATGAGGAATTACATCATTATAATCACTACCCATTTGGTATTGGGATTGAATTTTTTGCTTCCGAGCTTCGATTTTTCTTATGATCTGAAAGAGAATGACGAAGAAATTAGCAGCATAAGCCATTATAAGAGCAAGGATGAGTCCGGGGAAGCGGTGGAGTGTGCAGTGTGTCTGTGTAAACTTGAAGAAGGCGATGAGATTAGAGAGCTGCAATGTGATCATCTTTTTCATAAAGTCTGCTTAGACAGATGGATTGGATACCGGAATTCAACATGTCCGTTGTGCCGGGGTTCTTTAATACAGCCCGGACGAGTGGCTGAGCTCGTAGAGGAAGTGAAATTGCTTATCAAGTTCAGTTCTTTCCAGTCGAGTGACCGGAATTCATGGTGGCTTCGGTGAACCTTAGTTTGCAGCCCAACATAAGAGAAGACTTGTGTATTTATAGACACAAAATTACTGTATTGTGTACTCGTAGATCATGCTAAAGTAGATTTATAATTTATAAGAAGCCCCTAGTGCATCTTACTTGAATTTTTTTATGTTTTGTTTGGTACGATAAAAAAATAGAAGGATAGAAAATTAGAGAGATAAATAAATCATCATATTTGATAAGGAAAGAAAGTTAAAGAAGGAAAATAGAAATGATTAACTTTCTTCTAACTCACAAAAATCAATTCTTTCAAAATCGAAAGGAAAGTGGATAAAAATTATTATATTGTGTACTCATTGATCATGCTAAAGAAGATTTATAATATATAAAGAAGCCCCTATTGCATCTTGAATTTTTTTGAAGTTTTGTCCGTAATTTATCGCGGTATAGGCATAAAGTGACATAAAGATGCATTGAATGCATTTCTAAATAAGTATCGACCACCTTTTTCAAATTAAATCTTCATCCTTTAATTAGAGACATGAAAAGAAGAGTATTGAATACATGTTCAAGAGTATACGAGAAGCATCGATAGTAAAGGTGAATACATCGCATCCTTAATAGTGTTTGTGATTTGTAGTTATCGAAAGGTGTCTTACAATGCCAGGTTTACAATAGTACTAGCAATTAGGGCATGTTTGGATCGTAGGACTTGTTATTTTTTGTAATGGATTTTACGGTTCAGATTAATGTTACCTTGATCGTTGAATGAATTGGTACATGAAGAAGTATGCGGTACGATTCTTTTTACAATACATGGTGCAAAATATAGTAGTAGACTTAATTAGTACGCTATTTTGAGTTATGATTTACTTTGTAACTTTTATCCAAATGACTTTCATTTTTATATGAAATCACATAGCAATACATCGATATTCACATACTTTAAAATTGATTAGAAAAATTAAATAAAACTTATTCTTTAATTGTCCACCAAGTGAATTTTTGGTTCCGTTCCTGTCTAGGGTTCATAGGACTTGGAACAAACATACAAATGTGGAAATGAGTGGACTAAATCTCATTAGACTGTGTCAATCGGGATGGAGAATAGGGGTGCAAATTGGGAGGGTCAACTCAAATTCAACCGGAGTCCAATCCAAAAAAAAAAAATGGCTTGGATTAGAATTTTTAATACTTGGGTTGAGTCTGGGCAAAAAGAATTCCAACCCGAATTGAATTCGAACATGCCTCGGGTCGAGAGCTTGAGTTGTTGGGTTCAACGCGAATATTAAAATCGGGTTAAATCCGAATATACATAAATATATAAATATATTTAACTATGGTTAGTATTTATCTTCACTTTTCAGAGTCTAGACTTTCACTTCACTTCAAGTCTTCACCCCTGCATCTCCATCACTCTCAAGTCCCTCTCTTACTCGTCACTCATTTCTCATATGATCTCAGACTCTTAGTCTCTCTCTTTCACTCGTCTGAGTCTCATTTCGAACTCTTAGCCTCCCTCTCTCACTCGTCACTCTTCTCTTTTTTATTAATTTGAATTAAGTAACCCGAGCTCAACCTGATTTTTAACTTGAAATTAGCCCAAATTAAATAATCCGAATTCAACCCAAGCCGGCCCAAATTAAACTCATATAATACACGGGTTGAGTACCTCAAGTTGGGTCGGGTTAGAGTTGAAGATTATATACCTAGGGTTGAATTAAAATTGACCTCTCAACCTGCCCAAATTATACCCCTAATGGAGAGTCCTAACTCCTATATCCCTAACCACTGGTTTTAGGGTACATACAAGCCCCACAATATTTTTTTGCTTTTTCTTTTCATAATTCATCATTTCAAGCCCTACAAGACCCTAGATTTGGTGTTTTTATGCAAAGTGTACAAGTAAGAAACGAATGTAATCCACTAACAAATTATACGGTAATGAAATTTAATTTTTTGATATTATACTAAAAAATAATTTTTAATCTCAAATCTTAGTTTAAGTTGATTATGCACAATGTTATCAAAGCCCGTCAAAAGAGTTGTATACAACAATGGGGAACCAGGTATGTATTGGTCCCCTAGTGAGACTCAGGAGTTAGCCAAAGGTTTTCATAGGAGTCATCAAGGAGTTCATCACTTCAAGGTGGCTTCCGAAAGGGGATTTTTTTTGTTGGTATTCTAGATCCCAGACACGTGCTAATTCGATTTAGTCTTTATGAAGATTATTTAAAGACCTGGTTAAAGGATACTACCTATATTGAGGAATTTCTATTTCGTTTCTTCAAATGGTTCCCAGAGTTTCACCCTGGGATTGAGTTTCCTGTTGTACCTGTCTGGGTATCGCTTCCTGGTATGCCTATTCATCTATTTGATAGAGAAAGTCTGAGGGATATTTTGAGTCCCATAGGTAGAATATTGGTGATTGATAATGCTACCTTGCAGCTTTCTAGGCCTGGTGTTTCTAGGGCCTGTGTGGAAATGAATTTACTGGCATCTAATCCTAAAAGATTCTGGTTAGATATGGGGGGGTATGAGTGCGAGATGGCAGAGAATTGTTTATGAGAAAGAGCATAAATATTGTGTTGTTTGTCTCAAACAAGGACATGATAATCTTGTATGTAGGAAAAAGAAGAAAGAGGAGGAGGATAATACTTCTGTGACGGTGCCTGTTCCTGAGAATGGCACTGGTCATAATGAAGGGTGGAAAAATGGGAAAGGGAAAGTTGTGGCTAATGATGGGTTGAAAGCAAGGCAGAGGAAGGAATATAGGCAGAAGAATGTGGTTCATAATACAGATGTAGGGAATAATTTTGTTATTTTGACTAAGATGAATGATGTTGTGGACTTGGAAAATATTTTGGAAGGAAATCAACCTGATCTTTTGAAGGTTGATGCTGAAAATAATCTTAAGAAAGGGGAAGATAAGATAGTTGAACATGGAGGGGTTTCTGATGAAAATGTTTGCAGAAGTTCTCATACTCCTCTAAGAGAAAGAAATTCTGAATGTGAGATTTTATCTTATGAAAGGGCCAGGAATGATGATATGGTGGTAGATTTGAATGGAAATACAGGGGGTTCTAAGAAGCATTCTATGAATGATGTTGAAATGGTTTTAGAATGTGGAGAAGTGTCTCCTATTGTTAATGATCCTGGGAATATTCTGAGTAAGGAGAAGGATCAAATGTTGAAAGGTGTGGTTTTTAAGGAAAAGGTAAATGAAGGGGATGTTCCTATATGTAATAACAGTAAGCAATTTTCTTCATCTGCTGATTCTTCTTTTTGGGTGAATAATGAATATGGAACACATGGTAAAAGTACTTTTTCTTTAGATGATGAGAATGGATTGATGAGAAATAAAGAACCCCTTGATAAAGGATTTTGCTCTGATCAGGAGAATTCCATGAGGTGGGCAAATATTTCAGAGAATGTGGATGGTATTGAAGAGAATTTGGATGATCTAGAGATTGCAAATTCTACTAATTCCAGTCCTAGGCAGCTTATAGGTAATCTATCTCTCTCTTCTTCTTTATGATGAAATTCATGTTGTGGAATGTGAGGGGAGCTAGAAAAGAGGCTCTGAGAAGTAGGTTAAAGAAATTAGTTTACATGAATAAGAATTTTTTACTGCCTATTTTAGAACCTAAGATGGGATCTTCTCAAATTAGAGGATTTGCATATAGTGCTTTTGTGTTTAATTCACTTGCTGAGAAGAATTTGTGGTTATTATGGAGTGAGAGGGTGGAGATTAAAGTTGTTATGGAGTTTGAATAGTCCTTATCTGTGATTGTTTCATATTTGGGTTCTCCTATAGTATTAGTTAATGTGGTCTATGTCTGTTGTGATCATGTGTTGAGGAGGCCATTATGGCATCATTTGCAGTCGGTGGCTGCTTCTTTTGATTTCCATGAGGAAGGATTGATTGTGGTTTTGAAGGAAGTAGTTATACATGGTGTAATAATCATCATGGAGCTACTAGAATGTGGCAACATTTGGATAGGGTGTTGATAAATAGTGATTGGGTTACCAAATTTGAGAATACACAAGTTATTCATTTGGCAAGAGGCAGTTCTGATCACTCTCCTCTTTTAATTAAAGTGGTGGAAGCTGGGGTCCAACAAAGGATTTCGTACTTTAAATTTCTGGATATGTGGACTGAAGATCATTCTTTTTTGGATCTAGTAAAGGCAAACTGGTGCGGATGGTATTCAGTCAATCCTATTGAAAATATGTTTTTAAAGATGAAGTTTCTGAAAATTCATTTGAAAATATGGAATAAGAATGTGTTTGGTAACATTTTTGAGAAGATTCAGGCTCAAGAGATGGAATTGAGGCATGCTGAGAGGTGTATAGAATTGGATGGTTCTATAGATAATCTCAGGCCTTTAGAGAATGCCAGAAAACAATTGGAGAATACACTTAAATTGGAGGAATCCTTTTAGAGGCAGAAGGCAAATGTTAAATGTGCTGTAGAAGGTGAGAGGAACACTAAGTTCTATCACACTATTGCTAAAAGTAAATCTGTGAGAGGCAGAGTTAGTAAAATCAAGAATGAAGAGGATGCTTGGTTGGAGACTAAGGAGAAAATTTCTTCACATGTTGTTTCTTTTTTTCTAAACTGTATAAATTAGAACCTCATGAGTTGATAGATAACATTTTTGAACCCATTCCTCTTAGGGTTGGTGAGGAGGAGAATGAGCAACTAACTTGTGCTGCTACTATAGAAGAGATTAAAAGTGTGGTTTTCTCAATGTCAGTAGAAAGTGCCCCAGGGGCAGATGGTTTTTCTAGCAAATTTTTTCAAGTAGTATGGGAGGTCATTTAACAGGACATGTTGGAGGCTGTTAACTTCTTTCTTAAAGGTAGGAGTGTGCCAAGGTCTGTCAATGCTACTTTGCTAGCATTGATACCTAAGAAGACTAATCCTACTTTTACAGAATTTTGTCCTATTAGTTTATGTAACTTTTTATACAAAGGTTTTTCGAAATTGTTGGCCAAGAGATTGGCTTTGTTGCAACCTTCTTTAGTTTCTGAAGCAAATCATGGCTTCATTTAGTGCAAGAGTATTGGAGAATGTATCTCTTTA